TATGGGATCCTGACATTTGCAAAGTGAGGATTTAACCACTGAGCCATTGCTCCAGGCCCTCAAGTGACACCTTATAGAGGGCTTGTATATGTGTGTGTGGCGGGGAGCAGGGATGCAGGTTGAAGATGAGCAGGCAGAGGATGAAGGGTCTCACTGTGATAGGCAGGGCAACCTGAAGCAAGCCAACCCAGGGAGGACCCCTCTGGTGACCCCCCTTGAGGGACATTTGTTATTATTCCTAACTCAGAGGTGAGAGGCCTGGGGAAGAGGGAAGTTTAAGTAACCCGGCCGGAGTTAGACTGCTGACCAGGATTCAAACCCCGACCCTTGCTGCTCCTAGGATATGCGCAGGTGCAAATGGACTGCTCCTTTGCTTGTTTATCCAGGAGGTAATGACTGAATATCCAGCATGAAGCCAGCCACCTGAGGGAACTGGAGTTAGAAACTGGAGGCTAGGGCCCATGCTTGGCCAGGGCCTGTGCTAAGCCAGGGACTTTGTAAAGTGGCAAGGGTGGTGGGAGGAGGGATGTGTAAGGGGTGAATGCAGTGTTGTTGGCCAGACCCTTGGGTGGGAGGAATTACTGTGTGTGCCAGGGAGACGTGCTTGCAGGAGACTTCACAGGGTTGAAGCAGAAGGAGCTTGTGGGCAGGGGCCTTGCAGGAGAAAACTGCAGCTTGGGGCAGGGGAGTGGCTGGTGGGGCATGGGGTGTGGCAGAGGTGAGCAGAGTTGGCAGGGGAGGAGGATGGCCTTGCCTTTTTGAGACTGGGCAGGAGCCACAGAGGAGGCTTGTGGGTGGGACTGGCTACCTGTGGTTTGGCCTGTACTATGCCAGGAGTGTCTTAGAATCCCAGTGGGGCCTGGCAGCAAGCAGCCTTGTGTCCCACAGCTGCTGTGCACTGTCTGAGGACTTCGGGCATGCTTGATGGGGCTGGCAAAGGCAGGTTCATCTACAGGCACCTTTCTGTCTCCATAGCAGCAGCCTGGGTCATGCCTTTGGTCTATTGAGCTATTCTGCCTTGGCCAGCTGCAGGTGGGCCACACATGGACATCAGCTGGGGAGTCTGTTGGTCAGCTTGGACTCTACTCCCTTGCTCAGGGACACATGAGGAGGACCCTTGCAACCCTTCACTGCCAGTCTGGGTTGGAATGGGGTTGGGGGTGGGGGAGTCTCTAGCTGAAAGCAGGTGGCTTATCAGGGACAGGGTCTGCCTCCAGGGGTGACTAACTCTTCCAGCTGCCTCCTAGAAAGCTTGAGCAGACACAACCACTGCTCTCAGGCTGGCCTCTACCCCTGGAGCAGACCGTCTGAATCCTTAGAACAGCCTATACCTTGGTAAATGTCATTCCCATTTTATTAATAGGAAAACTCCAATAGATCCTACAACTTTGCCAGGCTTTGTATACTGTAAGTGGCAGAGCTGGAATTTGAACTCAGACCTGCCTGACTCCAGACCCATGTCTTTTTTAAAAATATCCATTATTTGAAAGGCAGATTTCAAATATCCATTATTTGAAAGGCAGATTTACAGAGAAAGGAGGAGAGACAGAGAGAGAGAGGAATCTTCAGTCTGCTGGTTTGCTTTTTCAGTGGTTTCAACAACTGGAGCTGGACCAGTCAGAAGCCAGGAGCTTCTGGGTCTCCCATGTAGGTGCAGGGTTCAGGCACTGAGCCTTCTGCTGCTGCTTTCCTAGGTGCATTAGTAGGGGGCCGGATTGGAGGTGGAGCAGCTGAACAGGTGGTGGCTTTACTTACTATGCCACAGCACTGGCCCTGGCCATTGTTTTTTGTACTTGGGGCTGCTTTATCCTGCCCAGGCTCCTGGGTATGTGGTGCTAGGCATGTGGGGCTCATGTCTTCCCCCTCTCACCACAGACGACTGGCTGCCGAATGGCACTAGGGTAGGCGCCTGCTGTCAGATACAGAGCACAGAGGGGCTCACAGGCCTCTCCTATGGGTGCCTGCCAAGCAGGCTGAGCTGATGGATCTGTTTGGACAGGCAGGGGCTGTTGCGCCCACGGGGACAGCTCCATAGACACTGGGCTGGGCAGCACCTTCTGCAATGCGATCTCTTCCTCCAGCCGTGCTTTCAAAGTGATGTCAGGGGTGTGGGTGAGGTGTTTTGTGCAAGCCAGTCTCGCTGGGGAGTGTGGTAGAAGCGGGGGCAGAGGGACAGGAGCATGCTACCCTTGAGGGCATCTGGCCAAGGCCCAGCACAAACAGCTTGTCCTTCCTTTTTCCTTCCTGACCCCAGGCTGGCCTAGCCTTTGCATGTCCTGCCTCAGGGCAGTGGAGAATTGCCCCACTAGTGTGGGAGGTGGTGCCACCTTGGAATTACTGAGCCTCAAGCTTCAAGGAGCCTTGGGTGGCATCCAGTGCTTAGCTCAGTGCTGGAGGAGGGGAGGAGTAGAGCCTAGGAGACAGGAAGTGACTTTGCTTAAGTTCACACACCCTTGGGGGTGTTGCAATTTCCCCATCTTCAAGGGGAAGCAGAGATGCTTAGCCCAAGCCTTGGGGGACCACCACTTTGCTGGCCTCCTGCAGCCTGTCTGATGCTCCCTGCTTGCCAACCTCACATGTAAGGTGTTGTGCTCTCTGGCGCCCCTAGTGGCAGTGGTGAATTTTCTGTTAATTTTCACAAATTTTCCCCAAGTACAGCATCCAAGGCACCAAGGAGGAACCTTGAACTTCCTAGGGGCAAAAGGCCAGTAGCAGCTAGCAAAGTGGCTCACAGATGAGAAACAAGCTCCAGTTTAGGGTGGCCAGCATGCTTGTTAGCATTGAGGGGAGGCAAGGAAAAAGTGAGGGAGCTGAAAGGGGACAGGGCTGTGGGAGAACAGGCTATGTGAGGATGGTGAAGGTTGGAAAGGTTTTCCTGGCTTAAAGAATGGCCTGAGTGAAGGTTGGAGATGAGATGGTGCCTTGGGGGATGGCAATGCCCACCCTGGGAGGCATGGGGCAGGTGCAAGCAAGCAGTGAGTGGTAAGTCTGGAAAGATAGCAGCAGGTAGCCTGGGACAGCAGGTGCAGAGGGACTATAACAATGCCTCAACTATCAGGAAAGCTGGGCTTTCCCTGGTGTTCAGTGGGAACAGCCAGGGTGTTTAACCAGGCTAAGGTGGTCAGTGAGAAAACAGCCAACAGAACCGGTGGACAAGGGAAAGGTAGCAGAAGTCATCATCAGGAGGGAATTCAGACCCGCATGAAGGGGCAGGTTCACTCCTGGTGGAGATAGGTAGATAAGAGCCACAGAGCCGAGAAGGAAAATCTTCAAGGACAGGTGGGTTAAGCCCACCTGGAATCTCTGGGCAGAGACCAAGCAGAAGGTGTGCAGATGGAGCCAAGAGCGTGAGCAGAAGTGTGAGGGGGAAGTTGTTCAGCATGCTCACAGGCACCAGTCCTTGGTTTCCTTGAACAGGAGTGATTAAGAGCTGCCTGGAGAGACCATTTACATTCCACATTCCACACAGTTCACCCAGTTATGCAAACACCACTACAACCATCCATAGAACGATCTTGGAATCAACTTGAGCCCATTTCCACCAAGTATCCACTGCAATCACTCCCCACATCCCCAGTCTTGGGCCACTCCTAACCCAGTCTGAATTTCTATAGGCCAGCCTGTTCTAAATGGAATCATGTAACATGTGGTTTTTTTTACTGGCTCAACACGATGTTTTCAAGATTCATTAATGTTATCGCATTGTCTGAGTCATTCTTTGGTTCCTATAATGAAATATCTGAGGCAGGCTACCTTTATAAGGAGAAAAGGGTTAATGTTAGCTCATAGTTCCAGAAGCTGAAGTCCAAGATCCAGTGGTCCCTGTTGGGTTGACCCCTAGGTTCTTACTGTTCTTGCTGGTGGATTTGCAAGGTGGTACAAGAGCAAGACATGGCCAGAGGTTGGAAGCAAGCATGTCTGAATCACTGTGGTCTTGTACAAAGCCACCAGGATTTAGTCACGGGGCCTGTAAGCTCCCTAACTTATTAACTGTCTACTCTCTTCATACTGTTAACTTAAGATTAAGGTTTAAGGTCCTAACCAAATGTCAGGGGCCAAACCAGTAGCAATCATGTGAATACTTCATGCCTTCTGTCTTTTGTCTACACTGAATGCTAAGCCCATATGAAGATCATGATGTGCCGCCTGGGTCTCTCCTGTTTCATGGAGCCATTCTGCAGTCAACAGCCCCATCGGCTGTGAGCATCTGGGTCCTGTGTATTCAGGACAATGCATTTTGAATGGAGTCCAGATGAAGCCAGGGCACTTGCTCACCCACCATGTGGTCTCAGAGAGTGGGAGTGGGAGAGAGGTGAAGCGTATGTAGCATCCTGGTCTAGCCATTCTTAGGACCCAGCATTTGTGAGAGCTAAAGCAGGGCTGCCCTCAACAGCTCCAGTTCTTAGCAGCTGCCTACCAGAAGGAAAGGTTCTGTTTCCGCCCTATTGTTCCTAGAGATCAGCTCTGTTTGTTCCTGAGTTCCCCTGAGGGCCAGGAGCCATTAAACTGAGCATAGAGAAGCTTGAGCTGCCCAGCAAGCCCAGAGAGGAGGGGAAGAAGCTTGCTGATCCAGAGAAAAAAAGGAGGCCCAGAAAAGACCCAGTTGAATGAGCAGGGCTGAGCCAGGATGTCCTTGTCCTATCAAGCCGTGGCAGAGGTGGGAGCTGTGCTTGCAGGAAATGTTGCTAGGGTCTCATGGGCTCCATTAGACAGATGGGGATATCAAGGCATGCCATTAAAGGGTTCCCCCGTTTAGAGCCAGAGCCAACATGAGCCAAGATGAAAGCTGCAGGCTCTAGCAGCAGGTCTAGCAAGACCCTGCCTGGCACTTGAACTCAGGCCTGTTTCTGAGTTCACAGAAGACCGCGGACACGAAAGCAAGAGTTTGTGCTGTTTTCATATCCGAAAAAAGAACACCAACCCCGAAGTGGAAACACAGCAGAGCAGAGCTGTAATTACCGTCTTTTCTCCCTTCCTTTGTTTTTGTTTTTGTTCTCCAGCCAGAAAACATTATGTTGTTAGACAAGAATATCCCCATTCCACACATCAAGCTGATCGACTTTGGCCTGGCCCATGAAATAGAAGACGGAGTGGAATTCAAGAACATTTTCGGGACGCCGGAATTTGTTGGTGAGTTTTAGGCCTGTTCGACTCCTTGTTGAGAATTTGGTGATGATAAGTGTTGAAAAACCAGGCGCAAACCCTGTGGTCAGGGCTGGACCCTCTGCACCTATCAAGAAGGGAAGCAAGTGTCTCTTTTTGGATTAATTTTTCATTTTATTTTAGCACTTCTTACAACAGTGAAGGGGTTGCAGACCCATGTAGGGTTCCGATTAGGGTGGAGAGGGTTGGGATGTTGGTGGGGGGAAGGTGGGTAAGATAAGGTTTCAGCTTCCCTCCTGTATCCGTGGGGGCAGGATGGGGGAAGGGTTGGAAGTACACAGCTCCTTGATATCACACAGCATCAGCACCCAGGGACAGAGATGGTCATTTGATGTTGCCTTTGAGGCCTTGATATGGGGTGTTACCTGAGTGGTCTTGATTATTCTGAATTGTCAGATTTGTTATACCAGAGGGAAGGGATTCTTTCTAAGGCCTATTGGCTCTCCTTGTCTACCTCAGTGTGCCCACAGACCCTTAGGTGCCTGTTGTAGAGCCTGGCCTGGAATGTCGTTTTTGTCTTTGAAGAGGTACTTGAAGTCCTCTGTTAACTTAGGTGAGCTGGCTGGCTTGTGTTTTGTGTGAGTCTGGGTATGCTCTCCATTGTTGTATCAACGGTCAGCAACTGAGGTGACACCCAGGTCTGCAACATGTGCTCTGGGGTTGCACCATGTATCCTTGTGATTTTCCCTGTGGTCAAGGATCAAGCACAGCAATGTAGTTGGGGAACCCCTTAAGAAACCTCACCTGAGGGGTCCTCAGATTATCCTCTAGTGCATGCCAGTGGGTGCAGGATTGGACCAGTGGGTGCAGCTGCCTAGCCAGTCCCCTAGTCCGGGCTCTCACTCAATCCAGTGAGTGTTGCGGCCTAGCCCAGATCAGCCTGCCCCTAGGTGGATGCTCTAGCCCAGCCAGGGCTATTGAAAAACCCCTTCATGGCCCACCACAAGGACTAATTTTCACATATGTGTGAAGGGGGCCTAATCCAACTCAGTGCAACCCAGCCCCAGTTCTTGAGTGCACTGTTGGGTACTGCACCTTAGTCAGAGCAACCTCCAGAAACTCCTACTATGCCTACCTCCCAGCCTTGACACTCATCAGTGGTTACTGTGGTTGCTACCACCTGGCCCGGCCCTGCCTGGCTGTATCCCTGGCTTTCCTATGCTCTGATGGGTACTGCAGCCTACCGGAAAGAACCCCCAAAGAACACCTACCAGACCCAGCCCCAAACATAAGCACTGGCAGGTACTGTGACCTAGCCTGGCCCAGCTCTTATGCAGATGGGTGAGTGCTTTAGCCTTACCCAGGAACACCTGCAGATTTCCCCTTTTGATTCATCTCATCTTAACTCCCTCAATTACCTGTGAGTACAGTGGCCTGGTCTATGGAAGTTCCCAGAAATAATTTTATGCATATCAAAGAAGCCCTCAGTGGGCCCACATCTGACCTATCCCCTGTTCCTTGGCCCCTTACAATGCATGCACCCCCTCTAGGAATGCATGGCAGTGGGATGGACCTGGCCAGTGTGCCCCTGGGGTGGTACCGTGAACACTTTACCTCTCTCCCTCCAGATCTTGAAAATAAAGTGTAATAGAAAACTATGCTGGCACATTGGTATAGTTAACACAGAGTTGGCATTAACCAGGCCCAGAATGCCAACCAGTTGTTGGCTGCTTTTCTCCCAGTAATGTAATACTTGCCTGGGTATGAGGCAATCTAGGCAGTTGCCTACAGTTGGACGGAAATGGCTCTTTAAAAAATATTTTTGTACGTATGTATACATGTATGCATTTGAAAGGCAGAGTTAAAGGCAGAGACAAAAATGTCTTCTATCTGCTGGTTCACTTCCAAATTACTGCAGTGACTGGGGCTGGGTCAGGCTAAAGCCAAGAGCCTGGAACTTCATCCAGGTCTCCCATGTGGGTTGGCAGGGGTCCAAGCACTTGGACCATCCTCTGCTTCTTTTCTAGCCCACTAGCAGGGAGCTGGATCAGAAGCAGAGCAGCCAGGAGGACTTGAACTGTGGATCTAAATAGGATGTCAGTGCTGTAGGTGATGGCAACTTAACCCACAGCACCATAGTGATGGCCTGAGGAGCTGTCCGTGTGCAGGCTCTGAGCCCCAAGCAGGGCAGACATGGCCAAGTGGAGCCAGCACCTCTTCCCAAAGCTGGCCCTAGCATCTGCCCTTAGCAGAGTTTAGTGTGAAGATTTGAACTCACCCTATCCCCGTACAATCACACAAACCCACCCTTCTCTGAACGAGCTTGATTTCTTGCACAGAAACAGGAAATCATCTGCTGCTGCCGGATCTGCCCACCTGCCTTTCCTGGGTGCCTAGCTGTTGTTTCCCTAGGTGCTTGGTTCCCACAGGGCCTGGCTGCTCCCTCCAGGTCTTTCACCCTAAACTCAAGTCCCCATCCACCTGTCCTGCACCCTAGAAGCTTTTCACTGATGCTCATGACTAAGGTTGGGATGTTGAGGAAATGGTCCTCCAGAGGGGAGAGGACCGAGAGCCCTGATGGATTTGCAGGTTGTGCTAGCTCTGCAGTCACTGTGGACTGTGCTACCCCAACCCTACACACCCTCGAGCATGGAGCTCTGGTCATAGGCCAGGCATCATGCCTTGTGCTCTATAGACACAACTGATAATACTCAACGAGGAGCTGGCACCGTGGTGCAGTGCATTCAACTACTGCCTGCAATGCTGGTATCCCACATCAGAGCACCGGTTCAAATCCTGTATCCTTCACTCCCAATTCACCTCCCTCGGTAGTTGATGGTATAAGTAGTTAGTCCCTGCCACCCACATGGGAGACCCAGATGGAGTTCCGGTCTCCTGGTTTGATCTAGCCTAGCCCTGGCTACCATGACCATTTGGGGAATGAATCAACAGATGGGAATTTTCCTTCACCTCCCTCCCATCTTCCCTCCCAAATAGCTTTTTTTTTTTGAATGTACATGTTGAAATAAATCTAATGCTTTAAAAAAGAAAAAAATATTTGCAGACACATAGAATGAAAAGCTAACTTGATTGTATGGTGCAGAAAATTTTCAAATTTGCACATAGGTTTTTCACAATATGCATTTTCCATTAACTACTTTTAAAATTTGTTTTTTGAAAAACGAAGTGTCTATCCACTGTTCCCTTCCCAAAGGCCCACAGTGACAGCTAGGCTGGAGCCAGGAACCAAGAACTCTAGGCTTCCAACATGTGTGGCAGGGACCCAAGTGCTTGAGCACTTGCTGCCTCCCATTAGTAGGAAGCTGGAATCAGGTCAGAGCCCATGCCTCCCAGTGTGGGATGTGGGTTTCTAACATTAGGCCAAACACCTGTTGCAGGTGCTGTGGTTTCAATATCATCCTAGATAAGTGGTTGTGGGCTTTCTCACTCCCCACTCCCATGAAGGGTTGAATAGGTCTGTTTGTTCCTCCTCTCCAGCTACCACCCTTTCTCTCTCACCTCCAGTTGTTCACCCCTGCTGGAATCTCCACCTCCTGTTGTTAGGCCTGGAAATGCTGCAGTGCCTTAATGTTTTAGCACTCACTCCGCAGGGCGTCTCTGCGCAGCAATGACTGGTCCTTTTCTCTCCCTAGCCATGCCCCTCTCCTGGCCTCCTCTCCTCCCCTGGTCACCGCATCATTAACCCAGCTCCTATTTCCATCTGGCCAGTCCCTTACAGCCAGCTGCCCAGGACACCTCATTGTCATCATATTAGTGGTCTGCAGCACCATCCCCTCACCCCTCTGAGGGGAGGCAGCCTCCAAGGCAGGTGGATGACCCTCTCTGCCTGCTTTTTTTCCCTCTCAGTCTGGCTTCAGAGCAGCACTCATCAGCCCCATTTCTCTTTCTTACACCTGCCTCTTGGGTATCCTAGTGGACTTTTCCTCTCTTCTCTGTCAAAGCATGCAAATGGAAGGCTTCTTTCTACCAGGACAGCAGGTAGTTCCTGTCCTGGCTCTCCCAGAAGCACTCACCAAATGTCTGAGACTGGGGATTCTGTTCACAAATAGAGCATTACTATTTAAAGTTCTAGAGGCTCGCAAGTCCAAGATCAATGTGCCAATGGATGGTCTGGTGTCTGGTGAGAGTCTATCCTCTGCTTTATACAGAGATGGTGACTGCTTGCTGAGTCCTCGCATGGCTAGGCAAGGTCTGGGCTTTCTTGGAACTCTCTTGTAGGAAATCCCCTTCTGTGTGGGGTCATGTTGTTGAGCTGTAACCTGTAATGCCACTATCCCCTCTGGGTGCCTGTTCAGTTCCTGCTTATTCCACTTCCAATCCAGCTCCCTGATAATGCACCTGACAAAGCAGAGGAAGATGACCCAAGTACGTTAACACCTGCCTCTCATGTGGGAGACCTGATGGAGTTCAGGCTACTGGCTTCATCCCAGTTCAGCCCAGCCATTGACCATTGGAGAATGAACCAGCATATGGAAGATATTCTTTCTCTCTCTCTCTCTCTATATATATATATATGTGTGTGTGTGTGTGTATGTGTGTATATATATGTATGTATATATGTCTTTCTCTTCAATCCCATCTACCTGCATCTCTGCCTTTCAAATAAATTTTAAAATATCTATAACAAAAAAGAGCAATTCCCTCACTGAGGATTCTGTCCTCATGACATAATCACCTCTAGGCTGTTGCCCATAATATAGTTACATTAGGAATTAGGGTTTACCCCAAGAACATGGCAGATGGGAAGCACCAATGTTCAGGTCCAGGGAAGCCCTTTCTGCAGGATTCTTGGGTCCTCACTGGGGACTCAATATGAAGACATTTGCCACCAAAGACTCCTACATTTCTATAGCTGTTCACTCTCTTAAACCCTTCTTAAGTTTCTCACATTACTTTTTTTTTTTTTTTAGCTCCAGAAATTGTGAACTATGAACCTCTTGGCCTGGAAGCTGACATGTGGTGAGTCCAACTGGCTTCCTGCATGCCTAGGACTCCTGGCAAGGGCAGGGGGCCTTGGACCCTGCCTGAGGTGACAGCCCCGGACAGTGAATGTTTCACTCCCCATAAGCACCTGTCAGAGCCTCTGCTTGCTTCAGCTGTACTGGGCCTATATCTGGGTATACCTGTAGGCGGAGAGGTTCAGAGGGGGCCAAGTCAACAGTGAGGGGTAGGGCAGGGAGAGGCAGGGCCTGCCCCAGCTAGGAGAAGGAGCAGTTACGACGGTTCAGTCCATCAGCCTGGAGAGCCTGGTACATTCTGAACACTGTATGGCTTGGGGATGCCGCAGTAATTGAGTCTGCTGCTGTGGGAATCCTTCCATCTGGCCAAGTGCCTTCATCAGCGGTGTTCAGATGTCCAGCCATGCATGGGTCAGTTGGCAAGGTGCTTGTCACTGTCCTCATCTTCCAAGGAGAAAGAGGTTTATAGCCTGTGAGTGTAGGAATCTGCTCTTGAACTTGGCTCCAAATGCATCCCAAGCTGCCACTGAATGGTAGGGTGGAGAGGGGTGTGGGCCTCTGTCCCTCCTGAGACCCACATGGGGTGTCATCCTTGGCTGATCTGGAGTGGGGTGGGGGCGGGGGTCAAAGGGGCCTGATCTGACCGCTGTTTGTTCCGCAGGAGCATCGGCGTCATCACCTACATCCTGTGAGTGTTGCTGATCCTCGTGCCATACCCCTGCTTAGCTCTGTGGGAACCAGGAGGCACAAGGGCGGGCCAAGCAGATGGACACTTGCCCAAAGCTGGATGTATCCAGCCCACAGTGCAAGCCTGAGGAAGAGCTCCCCGAGCTGTATCTCACATGTCTGTCCCTGTGGTTGGGATGGACCAATAGTCCTGGAGAGCAGCCCCCAGCTTTCACACAGGGACCACGCCCTGCCCAGCCTCCCACACTTGGTATGAGCTTTCAGGCAGCAGCCTCAGATAGCCCCAAGGCTGCCACGCCCACTGGATCCTGCCTTCTCTTCCTCATTCCATTCCGCTCCCCCACTCGCTCACATGCGTTTACCTTCCTTTCTTTCCTGTCCCTGAGTGTTTGGTTGTTGCAGCAAAGATTGCCTGCCCAGGTCCTTGGTGTCCTGGCAGTGACTGAGGCTGGAATCTGAGGCCAGCTGTCCTTTTCCACCTCTGTGGCCTTGGGTACATTCTTAACTTCTGGACCTGCTTTTGACCATCAGAAAAATGAGCACAGACCTCCCTCCAGGGCCATGGTGAGGAGCCCAGAGAAGCCACACAGGCACATTTCCTAGCCCCAGCTCCAGTACCTCCGACCATTAGTAGGAGACCATCCGGTACTTCCCTCCCAGCACTTGCGGGAAGTGCCATTTTTCTGGCATACTGGGGTAGGGGTTGGCCTGCAGACAGCAGAACCCGGTGGCCACTGCTCCCCCTACAACAGCTGAGAGCCGATTCCCACCTCACTGCCACCTCTTACAATCTGGCCCTGATGCCGTGCCTGCCCCCGAGGTGTGGCTGAGGCTCTACGCCCAGAGCTTCTAGTGCTCGCCAGGCCCCAGGCACTGCCTGTCTCTGAAGTCCTGATTTCCAGGAGGGGGCATGCCTTCCAAATCTTTTATTAATACCCGCACCCGACTCTGACTTTGGTGTTTACAAACCTTGATTTTTGGGGACCTATGGTCTTCAGATTGAACTGTTGAGGAATTCCAGCACATAGGGTACATGGTCTTCGTGTGGCTCCTTTGAACTCAGCCTGCTCACTGGAGGGCATTATGCCACAGACTGACATGAGGAGAACTTTCCCTGCAGGCTAGAGGCTTCCTGTCTCAGAGAGATGCCACATGGCTCACCCTCCCCACTCGCATTCATCCAGAGCATGATATTGACAGGTGCCTGGCGCTGGGCCACTGCCTTCTCGCCACAGCATCACTCAGCCGAGAGCCTTGCACCATGAGCCAAAGCAGGTGTGCTAGCTCACGACTCTTCATCTTGTAAAGCTGCCGGGGCCCTCTGGTGGCTCGAGACTTCACCTCGTGCGCCTCCTCTCCCAAAGACCCCACCTCCAGGTACCATTAGAGCACAGATTTGAAAGTTCAGTCTCCAACATGTAAACCATCCAACCATCACAGGCTCTGAAGAGCTGTGGGTTTGCTAGGTGCTGCCAAAGGTTGAGGAAGAGAAAACAGGAGAGACAGAGAACTGGACTGTCGGGAATGAAAGTTTTCCCACAGTTAAGGGGTAAGGTAGATGATGTGTGGGCTGAGAAAATGCGATAAAAGGCACAGAGAACAGGTGTAGCGTGACTGCAATATCCTGAGCATGAGCTGGGGACCAACTTCCGGGGCCTGGCCTAAGTCTAAATGTGATCTGATAGAACGTACAGGGTCATAGAAAGTTCTTTTGATTCTAAACATGACGATGATCATAGCCATTGATTCCGTAGCCTTTAATATGAGCTAGAATCACATAAGGCACTTGATATACCTTTGTTCTTCACAACTGTTATGTGGGGGGGGGGAAGTATTTTTCTACTTTACAGATGGGAAAACCACAGCCCAGAGAGGTTGAGTAATTTGCCCAGGGTTACACAGCTAAGAGTGGCAAAACTGGGATTCAGGTCCAGGATTAAAATCTCACAATCTAAATATCAAAATAGTGACCATTAGGACTCAGGACTAGGGATGACACATTATAGGATTTAGCCAATGGAGCCAGTGGGCGTTTTGGCCAAGTTAGATGTGGCCAGGTGGTAGGAGGAAGAAGCCAAGGTGCCAACCATGTTTCTAGCTGGAGTACGTTTGTGAAATCAAGTCATGAATCCAGCCAGGGAGCACAAAGAAGGGACGCGGGCACAGAGAGGCCAGGGAGAGGCAGCCCAGGGTTAGTTGGAGTGCAAGCCAGGGGTGGCGTTCCATGGGACACGTCCTTGATCATGGTGGGTGCTGGGAGCCCATCTGCATGTATGTCCCCCAGGCTGTTGCTGGAAGTTCCTCCCCACTTCTCCTCTCTTCCCTGGCAGCTGCCTCCTTCCTCAAAACACCAGAAACGCAAATGCCAGCTCTTCCACAGAGCTGTCCTGGCCCCTTCCCTGGGATTCCCCTGCCGCTCCGGCCTTTATCTGACTTCCTGTCTGTTTTCCCAGATGCTATGAAAATCTGTTTCTTGGCATCCCTTGAAGACAGAATTTTTTCCTTTTTAAAGTCTTATTCACTTGAAAGGCAGAGTGAAAGAGGACACACACACACACATAGAATGAGAGATCTTCCATTCACTGATTGACTCCCGAAATGCCTCGCAGCAGCCAGGTCTGGGCCAGGACAGAGCCAGGAGTCAGGAGCCAGGGGCTCCATATGGGTCTCCCACAAGGGTGGCAGGGCCATCCTTTGCTGCTTTCCCAAGTGCATTAGCAAGGAACTGGCTTGGAAGTAGAGCAGCTGGGACTCAAACTGGTATTCTGATATGGCACACTGATGTTGCAGTCATCAGCTTAATGCACTGTGCCACAACCCTGGCCTCAAAGACAGTTTTTGCTCTATCAAATCCTTAACAGGAGCTCTGTAGAAATGTTCTGAATTGGGCATGGTTAGAAAGGCTGCTGGTTGGATATCTAGTGAGGCCCAGTCCCTTCCCCTGCCAGCAGGACCGATCAGGATGCCCCAAGCCCATCACTCGCATCCCACGTGTTCCCATTATCATACTGTTCCCTCTGTGTGCACAGCCTGAGTGGAGCCTCCCCCTTCCTGGGTGATACAAAGCAGGAGACACTGTCAAACATCACGGCCGTGAGCTACGACTTCGACGAGGAATTCTTCAGCCAGACCAGCGAGCTGGCCAAGGACTTCATTCGGAAGCTTCTGGTGAAAGAGACCCGGTAGGGAGACAGAGAGAGGCGTTGGGTTCTTGGGGCATGTCCCTCTTCTGTCATCTCTCTCAAGACTGTGTCAGCCCGCCCTTGCTTTGCTGCACCTGTTACTTAAATGGGTCAGGTGCACAGACAGGTGGGGGCTGGCTGAGACCGGTCGCTCAGCTGTCTGCTGGAGTCTTCCTGCAAGTGATTGTGTGTTTGCGTGTGTGTGCACGTGCATGTACCCATGCGCAAGGACTTGGAAGTCAGCCTGGGTTTCTTATGAGCTCATGGCTTTGTGCAGCTGGTCCCACAGCACCTGGAACTCAGATTTGGAGAGACAAAATGGCAGGACTTCTAAGCCACTTGAGGCAGGCTCAACCCAGAGTGCAGAGTCGACCTGCAAACTCTGTGCCTCCTGCAAGCACCTGGGGGAGCTCCACAGCCATGGAGTCAAGGAGAGTCACATGACTGGGTGCTGGGTATCCAGTAGGGCCCAGCTGGTATGCAGAAAAGGACCACAAACCTTGCAGCCATGTCCTCCTGGTCCCACAGCCTGCAGACAGTGAGCCAGGGTGGAGTCTGCAGCTGAGCAGGGACTCTGCCCTCCCCAGGGTGCTCCTGCCAGGTTACAGAGCAGCCGTGGACAGAGGAGGGATGGGAAGGCTAACAGAAAAACAGATCTGGGGCTCCACAGTGGAGAGCTGGCTTTTGGAACATTCTGGAAACAACAGGACATCTGTAGCTCTCATATAGATTTTAAAAGATTTATTTTCTTTCTTTGAAAGGCAGAGTAAGAGATTCCACATGCTGGTTCATTCCATAAATGGCCCACAATGACTAGGGCTGGGCCAGGCTGAAGCCAGGAGCCGGGAGCTTCTTCCAGGTCTCCCACATGGCTGCAAGGACCCAAGCACTTGGGCCATCTTCGCTGCCTTTCCAGACACATTAGCGGGGCCTGGATGGGAAATGGAGCAGCCAGGACTACAACTGGCACCCATATGAGATACTAGCATCACAGGTGACAACTTTACTTGCTCCACCACAACACCGGCCCCAGCGTTAGGCCTTTCAACTTTGGGATCAAAGCGGGTGAAGTGGGAAGGTTTAGGTAGTAAGACACCGTATTGCAGAGTCTGCCCAGACTCTGCCTAGAGAGCAGGGAGGGTAGCCAATCCTCATCCAGCCTGGCCTGCCAGCAGAAGTCAAAGAGTGCCAGAGGTGGGTCTGGAAGGAGGGGGCCATGGAGGCTGTTGCTGTCCACTCTGGCCTTGAGGATCACCACTGTCTTCTTGCCCTCACTACAGGCAGCGGCTCACAATCCAAGAGGCACTCTCGCATCCCTGGATCACGGTAAGGATGGCACAGTGAGTTCAAGTGAGCCACAGGGCTCTGATCTGCTTCTAGGGCTGGCCAAAGCAGTTGGATGCAGAAACACTGACCTTGGGGCACAGGCAGAAGTTGGTCTGGGGGTCCGCAGGGCCTGAGCCTATCCAGCTGGGTTTGCACAGCTCTCAGATCATTTGGGCAATGAAATCCTCAGAAAATGTGGTCGGAGTTTGTTTTCCTGGGGGACCTAAATTTGTCATCGTCACTTCTCAAGGCGAAAGTCAGGACTCCACAGTGGTAGAGAAGCCAGTGATGGTTTGAACACAACACTTTGTCCAGGACTCCTTCTTTCTGACTTCTGGGGTTCTGAGTGATAGCTGCCATTTAGGGCAGCAGCAGGCTTTGGGACTTGGACTCTGAGACAGAAGTCCAGTAGGACAGAGGCAGCCAGGTTGGGTTTATAGGGGGCACCTCTGTCCCCTCTCCAGGAGGGAAGAACTGACAGGTGCACCATGTGTCATTAGCCTTATGAATGCTGTTTCTTCAGAGAGTCTTGTGCTTGGGGAGTGTAGATTCAGCCACTAGGTTCCTGGCCCGTGGTCCTGCTGGCTGCCTTGCTCTACACAGACACACACACACACGCCCTAAGGCAAGCATCCTACTTGGTGTCACTGTGAAGTCAGAAAGCCAGGAGGATGATTGAGTGTGTAGATCAGAAGGGGTTAGAGGCTTTTGCATAGTACAGTTAAGGAGGCTGCTGTGTTCTGGGAGGAGATCAGGTTCATCGGTTGATTGAAGGATGGGGCCTGCAGGTGCAGCTGAGCTCAGAGTGCAGAGTTTGGCGTGCTTGTGCTGCCTCTTGCTCAGTGCTTTGAGTCTGGCTGGGGTGTGAGGAGTCCCCCACCCCATCTCCTCCCTTGGTCAGCTATGGCCTTGTGTACTCCAGCCCTCTGGGGAGCGTTCCCGTAGAATTCTGGTTGTAGCTGCCTGTCTGCATGAGCACCCCTTAAATACGCAGAATGTGGACACCCCCTCTAACAGCCATGGAACCCTCTTTCCGGCAGTGAGTATGCACAAAGCACCCCCCACCTGACTTCCTTGAGATCTACGGGGGTGCTCCACTCACTGATTCTCCCCATGGCCTGGCATGTGCAGTGAATGGCAAAGAGCCTGCGTGTGTGCCTTCCAGCTGCGCTGTGGGGGTGTGCGCCACATTAACTGTCTGCTTCTCTATCTGAACACTCGTTAGTTGGGAGGAGAAGCCAGCACCCCCGAACAGCGCAAGACACAGCCCCCCCAGCTGAAGACCAAGCACCTGCGAGAGTACACGCTCAAATGCCATTCAAGCATGCCCCCCAACAACACCTACGTCAACTTTGAGCGTTTTGCCCACGTGGTGGAGGACGTGGCACGGGCAGATCAGGGATGCCATGCCCTGGCAGGGGCCCATGCTACCCTCCAGGATGACGTGGAGGCATTGATCTCCATCTACAATGAGAAGGAGGCTTGGTACCGGGAAGAGAATGAGAGAGCCCGGCATGACCTCTCCCAGCTCAGGTACGAGTTCCGCAAGGTGCAGTCCTTAAAGAAGCTCCTGCGAGAAGACCTCAGAGCCACAAGCTGCAGCCTCGGTGGGGTGGCCAGGAAGCTGGACCATGTGCAAGAGCAGTTTGAGACCCTGAGGCGGGAGCTTTCTGCAGACCTGCAGTGGATACAGGAAGTGGTGAGCAGCTTCCAGCCTGAGAGTGGATGCACAGACAACCTTGGCTCCATGCTACGCGGGGGAACAGGTGGAACTTTGTCGTAGCTGCTCAGCAAAGCCTGTGGGGACCAGGTACTGGGCAGCGTGCAGCTCTGAGCCCCAGGTCCAATGAGCAATGCCCCCCCCTCCGCCCCTGGCTGATATGTGGAAGTGTGGTCTTCCCTGCCTGCTGACCTCCAACCCACTGCACCGACCCCAGGATCATGGAGATGCTGGTTCATGGTTTTCTCTGTACGACCCTACAACCACTCTTCATTTCTCTGGAGGACAGCCACGCTGTGAACCCTCTTGGAGACTTGGACATCCTGCAGAGTCGCCTTCTACAGGTGGAGGATACTTAGTGGTTGATGAGGAGTTTATTCACTTCTTGCTTCCCACCTACATATCTCCCGGAGGGCAGATCTTGGGCTGTGTCTGAGTTAGCCAAGGAGAGCTAAGCCAGCATGGCAATTTCAAGTGCTTAGCAAAAAACATAATATTCTCTTTTACTTGCAGTAACTTTTAACTTTTCTTTTTTTTTTTTAAGATGTATTTATTTTTTTTGCAAAGTGACTGCAGTGGCCAGTGATGAGCCGATCCAAAGCCAGGAGCCAGGAACTTCTTCCAGGTCTTCCATGCAGGTGCAGGGTCCCAAGGCTTTGGGCCATCCTCGACTGCTTACCCAGGCCACAGACAGGGAGCTGGATAGGAAGTGGAGCTGCCGGGATTAGAACCAGCACCCATATGGGATCCCTGTGTGTTCAAGGCTTTAGCCACTAGGCCACTACGCCGGCCCAACTTTTAACTTTTCAATTTCTTAGGGTTATGACCTCACCTGATGCTTTGAAGAATTCTGGGAGGCAAGAGGATGGCTGGTGTCATTGTTATTATTATTATTATTTCTATATAACTGACAAAGAACTTGACTCAGATTCTGAGTCATTAGAATCCTTCACAATAAATAGAATCGATTAAACAGTAACCCAGGATACCTACCCCTAAGTTGAGGTATGTGGGAAGAAAAAATGAGACTTTGATGCAAATATAACCTTCATTTTTAAATAAGTATTTACTTTTTGGGGATGACGCAATGGCATAGCAGGCTACTCTTCTATCTATCTATGGCACCAGCATGCCACATGGGTGTTGCCTCATGTTCTCGTTGCTCCATTTCTGACTCAGGTCCCTGTTAATGGCATGGGAAAGCAACAGAGATGGCCCCTGGACTTAGACCCCTGCACCCACATGGCAGACCCACATGGTCACTGTAGCCATTCGGGGAGTGAACCAGCAAGGTCACTGGTGTCTGTAATTTTGACTTTCAAGTAAAACAATTAAATATTTTAAAATATACTTAATTATCTGAAAGCAAATCAAGCACTACAGAGATAGAGGGAAAGAGAGGGAGAGACATCTCCCATTTGTTGGGTCACAGATGGCTGAAATGGCCAGGGTGGAGCTAGCCTGAAGCCAGGAGCCAGGAGCTTCATCTAGTCTTCTTCTACTACTTTTCCCAGGTGTATTAGCAGGAAGCTGGATTGGAAGTGGGACAGCAAGGAAACAACCTAACGTCCATCTGGGATACTGACATCACAGGTGGTAGCTTTACTCACTATGCCTCAGCACCAGGCCGAGTTAATATGAACATTCAGAGCCTAGAGGTCCAGTAAGCAACCGCATGTGTTTGTAGCTCTATGTGTTCTTCTGCCAGGTGTTGGTGGAGTGCATACATCTGCAGGTGACTGTCTCAGAAGTTAGTCACTGTTCCCATCCAGAGCTCTGCTTATCTGAGTACCGGAGGGAAGAGGCATCTTCCTCTGCTCTGCCCTCTCCACTCTTCTCTGCTGAGAGTAAAGATCAACATGTGCTTAGCAAAGAGGTCTTTTTCCTTTCTTTTTTAAAAAAAGATTTATTTACTGTTATTGAAAAGGCAGATTTACAGAAAGAAGGAAAGACAGAGAGAAAGATCTTCCATGTGCTGGTCCACTCCCTAAGTGGCTACAATTGCCAGAGCTGAGCCAATCCAAAAGTAGGAGCCAGGAGCTTCTTCCAAGTCTCCCATGTGGGTGCAGAATCCCAAGGCCTTGGGCCATCCTTGACTGCTTTTCCAGGCCACAAGCAGGGAGCTGGATGGGAAGTGGAGTAGCCAGGACATGAACCGGTACACATATGGGATCCTGGCACTTGCAAGGTGAAGATTTAGCCATTGAGCCATTGACCCAGTGAACTTGGCTGCTAGAGACTGAGTGTGGAGGAAGGCCCAGAGAGCTATGCTGGAAGCCCAGGCATGGAAGGACAGATTGTGCGATTGCAAAGTCTGTCCACAACCTCATACCACACCTCTTGTCAGATAGGCAGGATAAGTGTTATTCCCAATATAGAAAGAAGAAAGCAGAGAGAGGCTGGGGTTTGTCCATGATCACATCAGTGGGGGCAGAGGTGGCAGTTTGTGGTGACAGCTTTGTGCCTCTGTTTCCCCTTATGCCCCAGGTTTGCCAACCACTCTGGAGATGGGTGGTATATAGGTGCATCTATCTCCTGGCAAGTTCTTGGCACCCACCCAAGTCTACACTCTCAGCATGAGTCTGGAGAACAGCGTTGAGTAAAACCATTACTGCTTCCAGCCTTTGTGGATTTCTGGATCCAGTGAAGAACTGGAATACACATTAGGACACATGCAAATGGAGAACTTGCAACTGGGATGTGTGTGAAACAGAAATAGCCTGTGGTGGGGGTTTCATCGAGGCTGGGGAGGCATTGCTGGAGTGAGTGGCTCTGGAGCTGAGATCAACCAAACAGTCCAAGGGCGAGAAACGTGTTCACAGTGGAAGTCTCTGGCAAGAGAGGGGCATGGAAGGCTGGAAACACAAGGATGGAGAAAGCTGGAGGGGGAGAAGACAACAGTGTGCCGTGGGGGTCTGCAGAGAAGGTGGGACCTGCAGGGTGTGGGCCGTGTGCAAGAGCTCCGCCTTTCTCCCTGGAGTCGTGGGCAGCCATTGCTGGACTCTGGACAGGTCAACAGTCTGGGTGTGCAATGCAACATGCCCTGGGAGCAACAGCAGGGACAGACAATGACTTAAGGCAATACAGAAGACTTCCATCTGAGGAAACCAGTCTCCTTTTCTATTAGTATGCTGGGTTGTGTCAGGTATCTCGTGAAATATTCCTTGTAACAGAAATATTTTTATCCATCGGACATGCTCCGTTAAGAATGAAAACAGTCCGAGATGGAGAATCTGATGAAGGATCCCACAGCCACTGCCATCTTAAGCTGTGGCACCCT